TTACTTTGTTTACGCATACACACACATACACATAACCACACTCACACCCGCACACATACACACTTAAACACTTAAATCACTCTTGTCACTGCTGGAAGTATGGATTTACAAGATTGCTCATTACTGCACTATGTTGGTTTGTTTGTATGTATGCCTGATTGTTAAATAAAAAAAAAAAAAAAAAAAAAAAGAAGCCCTAAAACCTTGTATATCTATATTATTATTATTATGGTTGTTATTAATAGTGAATAAATCTAAAGCTTTTGAGACTATTCATTTTATTTCTTTTGATTTGTCATGAAGATGTGACCATTTCCTCCTTTTTATGTAGGCTTACTAAATAATCTTGATATAAAAAAAAAGGGAGGGGGTGCCCTTTTTCAGTTTCAGCACATGCCCCTCAAAAGGTCTGTGCACGGCCCTGTCTGAATTCACCCCTTTGAAATTATTTTACTTTGGAAACCATGTATCTGAATTTATTTGTTTATTTGTTTTGTTTAAAAACCTGAATATCGATTTTAATATTTTTCAATGCTCACAAATTCAGATACAAAAAAAAAAATCAACTTACAGAATTTCAGATAAAATAGATTCAGGTTGATCAAATTCGACTGCTTAAATTCAGATCTCAAATTCAACTACTTAAATTCAGATCTCAAATTCGACTGCTCAAATTCAGATCGAAAAATTCAAGTTAAATATTCACATGGTAACATCCGGGCTACCCAGGATAGGCCACGCCCACACCGGGGGGAAAGCAATCCAACCGTCTCTATTGATTTGCATTGCGAGAGGCTGCCTCCTTGTCATTTATGACACAAAAAACAAAACAATGTCTAAAAGCTGTTGTGAGACAAGGTGTACAGCAAACAAGCAAAATAACCCAGAAATTATTTTTTATACGCTGTCGACCCCAAAAACGGTTTGTTTTTCAGGACATAAAAGTGGATCAATTGAGAAAGAGCGCAACTATTTCTCGAACTACTCTGAGAGAACTACGCCCAGCCTCCCCATATAGCACTGGAACGCGACATGATATTGTAAAAAAAAAAAAAAAAATCATAATTTTAACCATGTCGATTGCTTATTTCACCACCCTATGTGAACCTGAGAAGAGGAGATATATTAAATGTACCCATTCTTCCTGCTGATGCTTCACGTCTTATTGCCTGAAGCCTTTTGTCTCCTTAAAGGCTGGCTTTACCGGTTCGGAAGCTTATAAAACTGTATTTCTGTTGTGTTTTTTTTAGCTTATTTGCTGAACACCTTGTCACACAGCAGCTTTTATGCATTTTTCTGTCTTTTGTTATATGTTATTATAAGGAGGCAGCCTCTCGCAATGCAAAGTCAATGGAGACGGTTGGATTGTTTCGCCCCGCTTTGGTCGTGGCTTTAATACGCTCTGTCTCACACAGGCTCAGCTGTTTTTCCTATCATGGGTAGCCCGGATGTTACCATGTGAATATTTAACTTGAATTTTTCTATCTGAATTTGAGCAGTCGAATTTGAGATCTGAATTTAAGCAGTCGAATTTGATCAACCTGAATCTATTTTATCTGAAATTCTGTAAGTTGATTTTTTTTTTTTTTTGTATCTGAAGTGGTGAGCATTGAAAAATATTAAAATCGATATTCAGGTTTTTAAACAAAACAAATAAACAAATAAATTCAGATACATGGTTTCCAAAGTAAAATAATTTCAATGGGGTGAATTCAGAGCAAATAAATTCAGATAAAGGTTTTTCAAAGTAAAATATTTCAAAACTAAGTATTCAGTGGCTGTTAAATTTCAAATAGTTATGTCTCTTATTTGCTTCCATACAAAACAGACCAAACACAGCACACATCAACTACAGTTATAAGCCAAAGAAAAAAAAAATACGTTTAAGATTTGCTTTAAACTCAAGCAGTGAAGAAGCCGTTCTAATAGGGACAGGGAGGCTGTTCCAAAGTTTTGGTGCAGCGACAGCAAAAGCTCGATCTCCTCTCGTTTTTAATCTGGTCCGCGGTACAGTTAACAGTCTCTGGTTGGATGACCTAAGAGACCTTCCGGAGTTGTGACTGGATAGAAGATCAGTCATATATACAGGGGCCAATCCATTCAAGGATTTAAAAACCAACATCAATACTTTAAAATCAATTCTGTAACAAATAGGGAGCCAGTGCAGAGACTTCAGAACCGGAGTAATATGATTCCTTTTGCGCACCCTAGTAAGGAGCCTAGCAGCTGCATTCTGTACCATTTGCAAGCGGTTGAGTGGTACACGTTTAATGCCCAGATACAGAGAATTGCAGTAATCAAGCCTTGTTAAAAAATAAAGGCATGTATCACCTTTTCAAGATCTTTGAAAGAGAGAAATGGTTTAACTTTGGCTAGGACTCTGAGATGAAAAAACTGTAGAGATGGAAAACTGTATCCAGATTCTAGAGATTTTACTGTATTCTGTAAATAAATTGCCCAATAACAAATCATTTTGCAAGAACAGAGCTCTATCTGTAGTGGTGATGATTTTTTATATTTACCATGATAATTGTGTACAAAAAAGTATACATTTAGTAAACAGCAAAAATGAAAATATTAATATAGTTTTTTTAATATATAAAGTTAAGTAGTTTTAATGTTACGTGAATCAGTGATTTTGTTCTCCATGTCTTTGCTCTACCTGCTGGTGACACTAGTTTGCACTTCTTTAGTTGACAGACATTTCTTTATCTAATGAGAGTGAATGTGTTCACATGAGCACCCAGCTAGAAATGTTTTGTTCTAAAAACGTTCTGGGAACATTACCATGAAGTTCTAATAATGTTTTCAGCGGGTAGTTTATTTTGGTTCCCAGAATGTTTTCCTAAAAGGAACACAGCAAAAACTCCAGTGATAAAAGTTAATGAGATAATTAAGTGATTAATTGAGTGATGATTGAGCATTATTGAAGACACCTGATGTTATCAAGCAGAATAACTGAAGGAGAAAATCACTATTTTTAAGTCACCATTATGGTGATTAGTGTGTGCTTTAGTTGGGCTCTTGACCCTTACATTTTTAACTTTAGATTTTGTTTGACTGTTGTAACTGAATTATAACTGCCAGATGAACAAAGAGAAAAGGTTATCTGAAGTTGTTGGTTATGTTTTGACATAATCATAATTTTACCTGAATCACAAAACTATTTTAGAGCCTAATCTCTGACTTATATTTACATTGTCGATTGCAGCATCACATTGATTCTACAGCATAAGAGCCAGAATTTTCAATATATTCCAAAGGATTTCTTAAAACTTGTTCTGATAAAAAATAAAAATAATTGTGTAGGTACAAACAGACATCAAGCATGAGTGTATGAATCTCAGCAACGGTGACAAATGAAATATTTAATTAGGAAAATGACAGTTCAGATCATAATTTATTCATACTGCAATGCATGATGGGAGCCATGAATGAGTTTTGATTGGTGCCACCCAGAATGCACTGCAACATGGTTTTTTATCGTCACCATTGTTGAGATTCACAGGCTGAATTTTGATGTCTGTGTGTCTTAATACAACAAATCTAAATATTTTGAACAGAAATATTAATAATATTTAGGATTCTATAGAAAATGCTACAAATTGTATGCTATAGATTCACCAGGCTGCTGTAATCAACAAGTTAAACCTATTTGTCAAAATTGTAGTCCTCTGTTGTAAGTCACTTTGGTTAAAAGCATCTACTAAATGTAAATGATGTTTACGGATTCAAGTCAAATTATGATTACGGCTAAACATAACCATCACCACCTGAACACCATTCTCTTTGTTCATGTGGCAGCTACAACTCAGTTATAACAGCCAAACAAAATCTAAAGTTAATAATTTAAGGGTCAAGAGCCCAATTAAAGCAAACACTAATCACCATAATGGTGGCTTAAAATGAGATTTTCTCCATTAGTGATTCTGCTTGTTAACATCAGGTGTCTTCAGTAATGTTCAATCATCACACTTAATAACATAATTATCGAATTAATTTTAACACTCTTCAGTGTTCATTTAACACACATTTGAACACTTTAACTCTTTGAGTGTGGAGTCAAATAAACTCCCAGGAGAGTTAATTTAACACTGGAGTTTTTGCTGTGTAGGATAACATTCTTGCTTTAACACGTCACATTACAAGAACGTTTTACAAAATACACTCCGTCATCTCGGGCGTCAATGATATCCTCAAAACATTTTGTGAACGTTGATTTGATAATGTTCCTCCTTTGTTATTATGGAACATTGTATAATCTTTTATCTCAACAACTTTCCCAAAACATCCTCATAATGTTACAGTTAAAACTTTATATCTTAATTTACATTTAACCTTATAGAAACATTATTTGAATTGAGAAAACATCCTTAAAACATTCTTTGAACATTTCTTTAAAACATTAACCAAATAGGGAATGTTAGCCAATGTTCTGAGAACGTTTCCTGCTAGCTGGGCAGCAGTGGAGGTGTAAAGTTCTGGTGGAGGTGATGTTCTCGAAGTTAAGAGGAGAATATTATTGCCAGTATTAATTTAACATGTATTTTACATGCAATTTGACATATATGTAGTGCAGTGGGCCTTCAGTCTAGTTTATTCCCTCTTGCAACCAATCCCCTCCTTGGTTTTCAATAATTATAAAGTGGTAATGTTGTGGTTCTGTTAAAGTGTTGTGGAACAAGAAAAAGTGTCTGTGTTGTACAGTAGCCCATCTGTCAGGTCAGGATTTGCATAAAGGTTTAATGCAGTCCGTAGGCCTCTTATCAACTCAAAAAAAAAGAGGAAGTGAGACTAAGGGTTTTAGGAAAGATGATCTAATAAAGTCCCATCAAACTCAATAAATAAATAAATTTCAAGCATGTGTTCATTTGGCAGGAACTCGGAATCTGTGAACAATCCTGTCTGTGAAGAAATAAAAAGTTCCACTACTTGTGAAACAAAACAAAACACACGTCTTAAAGAAATACTTTGTAAATGTGAAGAACTTTGCATGTTCTTAACTCTTTCACTTCCTCTTTCTTTCTCCGTTTGGCTAATTCTCATGCTCTGAAGGATGCTGCTTCATTTGCCCTGTCCATTTTATGATGAGGTATTTTTTTGTTACAAAAAGTATTCTTGGAATAGTTTTAATCAAAGCTGGTTTTGAAGCAGCAAGTGGGGGTAAAATGTAAAGAGGAAGATAAAGAGTTCGTCTTCAAGGCTCATCTTATGGTAAACCGCTGATTCACGACATCGTTTCATCGCTGAAAAAATGGTAAGAGAATTTCTATGTTTGTAGTATATAACGTTACATTTTAAAAGTAAAAATAGGAATAATCCTTGTTATCTGCATGTGTTCATACTGTATGTTTAAAAAATGCAAATGTTCAGATGGTGCATTAATAAAATATCAGGTCTGGAGGTTATTCAATTTTTACTGATTTCTGAGATGAAAAATCTGTCAGTATTTATCAGTAGTATTTTCATTTGTTGACTATATTGATTAAATATCATTTTCATAATAATAAAAAAAACACACCAAAAAAAAAAAAAAGTTTTTTTCACTCAATTTTGACCTCATGGGTAATAAAAAAAAAAAAAAAATCCAAGTTATGTTTTACCCGGGAATATGGAAAAACGTTATCACCCCGGTTTCACAGATAAGGTCCCAGACTAAAATGCATGTTTGAACTGTTAAAACTGAAAGCAAATTGCACTGATAAATATGTCACTCAGTGCCATTGTTTTGTCTCAAGGTGCACACTGTTTTTTTTATTAAAGTTACTCAAATGTCCTAATGGAACTAAGGCCTAATCCTGGCATAATCTAAGCCCCGTCTGTAATACCGGGCCTATATTTCACAAAAAAATCTGGTTTTTAAAGACTGTTTTAATTTTTACATTTTTCTTTCATGAAAACTATCTCACAATAACCTGAACTTATTCTTGCCAAATTTCGTATGATTCACCTTCACAGAATTTAAATTAAGTGGCTGTGTATTGATTGTGTTGTAGGTTTTCCTGCTGGTGTCGGGCAGAATGGCTCCTCCTCTTCCTCTGATCTTCATGCTGCTCATGATTTCGGGTAAGTCAGAACTATTTCTGCTTTTCAACATCCTCAAGCACTACAGATGCAGTTAATTTGAATAAAGAAAATAATTTCAGATGTTTTCAGCGAAAAAGGTTGGGATGTGGGTGGTGATCGTGATGCTAAATTGTTCAAGATGATTTCTGTGTTTCAGGGGTTTCTAGTGATGATTGGGGTGTGAGTTACAGTCCTTCACACATCTGTGCACTAAACGACTCAACAGTTATAATGAGATGCACTTATACATACCCTACTGGATATCAGATCAAGAAAGTGTTCTGGACAAAAGGCCCAATACTAAGGGGTGTTGAGCTTCCAGATCTGTCTAATGACCCTGAATACAGTCAGAGGCTTCAGTATCTGGGAGATAAACAGCAGAACTGCACCGTCAGACTGAGTCATGTGACACTGAAGGATTCACACATGTACTATTTCAGATTCATCACTGATAAACCTGATGGAAAATGGAATGGTGTTCCAGGAGTGACTCTTACTGTCACAGGTGACTTTGATGAGGTTTATCTCTTCTTCTGTGCATTATGTTGAATAATAATCAGTGTATGACAGCAGCACTAGATATAATGTGTGTGTTGTGTTCAGATCTTCAGGTGGAGTCTCCTGAGAGAGTGACAGAGGGAGATTCAGTCAGTCTGACATGTAAAAGCAGCTGCGCTCTGACTGACAGAGCAACATTCATCTGGTACAGAAACTCACAGAAGATATTAACTGAGATTAAATTCAGTAACAAACTCTCCCTCAATCCAGTCAGAAGAGAGGATTCAGGCAGATATAGCTGTGCTGTAGACGGACACACTCACGTCTCTCCTGCTGTTGAGCTCAATGTCATGTGTGAGTGCAGATTCACTTGTTCTTTTTAAAATTAGGAGATTGTGTTTGAGTTCGAGATTTAAAGTTATCATTTTTGTCCCTTTTAGACCCTCCAAAGAGCGTCTCAGTGTCCATCAGACCATCGGGTGTAATAGTGGAGGGAGATTCAGTGACTCTGAACTGCATCAGTGACTCAAACCCTCCTGCAGAAATCCACTGGTTTAAAGGAAGAACGATTGTAGGATCTGGAAGAATCTTCAACATCTCAAAGATCAGCTCTGATGACAGTGGAGAATACAAGTGCAAGTCCATCAATGAACATGGAGAGAAATACTCTGATAATGTGACTTTAAACGTCATATGTGAGTTAATAATCATCTGCACATTGTTCAAAATCTTCAAATTCATAATTTTCTAACATTTATTTAGAATTTTCATTTTTGTCTGTTTTAGATCCTCCGAGGAGCGCCTCAGTGTCCATCAGTCCATCTGGTGTAATAGTGGAGGGAGATTCAGTGACTCTGAACTGCATCAGTGACTCAAACCCTCCTGCAGAAATCCACTGGTTTAAAGGAAGAACGATTGTAGGATCTGGAAGAATCTTCAACATCTCAAAGATCAGCTCTGATGACAGTGGAGAATACAAGTGCAAGTCCATCAATGAACATGGAGAGAAATACTCTGATGCTGTGACTTTAAACGTCATGTGTGAGTTAATAAATCATCTGCACATTGTTTAAAATTTCCAAACACATAATTTTGTAATAGTTATTGTGAATTAAAATTTGTGTCTGTTTTAGACCCACCCAGGAGCGTCTCAGTGTTGATAAATGGATCTGGTGAAATAGTGGAGGGAGATTCAGTGACTCTGAAGTGCATCAGTGACTCAAACCCTCCTGCTCTGAACTTCAGCTGGTTTAAGGAGAATGAAACCTCAGCTGTTGGATCTGGACAGAGTTTCAGTGCACTACAGAGTGGACGCTTCTACTGTCAGGCTCACAATCAACATGGATCTCAGAGATCAGACGCTGTAACTGTCACTGCACATGGTGTGTATCAGTCATTTTGTGATTGGACAAGCATTAATGCTACTGATGAAAAATATATTATGCACTTTTGCACTTATGTTACTTGGAAAGAAAAAAAAAAGGGGGGGGGGGGATCCGAAATTATAATAGCAATTGACAAGTTAATGTTAATGTTGTGAATGTATTTATCTCTAGCTCTAACAAGGAGGCTAAAGACTGCAGTCTTTAGTGTCAGTGGCTAGACTGCCTCTTGAGATCAGGAAAGTGAGGTTGACATGCACAGTTCCCACTAGCCTACGTCTGTTACACTCACCCCCCTAAACCTCACTCCCATCAGGGTCACGGCACCACTTTAGCCCCTCCAGTTCGGACCGCCCGTTATAAGTGAGATGAGAAACCAGTCCCGTCCACATAGGAGGCGGGCGCTCTAAAAAGGAGGCTTAAGGTTGCAGTCTCTGGAGAAAGGTCTTTATCATTGAATGTTTGAGAGAGAAAATAGCATCAAGTCAAAACATCCAGCTCTTAATTAAAGCTAAACAGGAGAAATGAAAACCCAGCATCAGTGCCACAGTCCCACCACATGAGGGAGTTGTTCTCATGGAGATCGGCTTTCCCAAGGAAAGTAATCCTGGCAGCACTGTAAATTCACTGTAAAATCAAAAACTGATTTGCCTCCGTTGGCAAAACAGGAACAGAACACATCAAAAACTAAACCAAATAAGACTACACTTGACATTGCACCGTTATCTCGGAAGGTGCGTCCCCATGCCGTAACAAACGGTCCAACTGAGGAAGGAAGGAGGGGGCTCTGGAAGATGATGTGGAACATGAGAGTAATGTAACCAGACAGGGGTAGGCAGAACAGTCCGTGGAGGAGTGGAGGGTGGGAGGAGCAGGAGTAGCCAAGCGGGGAACCAGAGTGCAGCCAGGAAGATGTCCCAGGGTGGAGTCGAGGGAGGGAGGAGCCAGGGTGGAGGCTTGGCTGTCAACACCAGGGGGACAATGGAAGGAGATGGAGCCAATGGAGGTGGAGCTAAAGATCCGATGAGTCCATGCAGCACTGAAGGCTCCGGAGATCAAGGCATCGATGAGAATTTTGAGGTAGAGCCAGAGGACTGAGGTGGAGCTGGTGGGCCTGAGGACCAAGACTGAGCCAGAGGGAAGACGGAGCCAGTCGAGGGGTGGAGAGATGGAGGCAGATGGAGGCTGGATTGAGGCAGAGGATGGCTCAAAAGTCCATGGCGCAGGCAGGACTATGTCTGACCAAGGCAGAGCCAAGGATGCCTGGTGGAGCTGTAGGGACGATGGTTTCTGGTGGAGCCGAGGGAGTAAGGAGCCAAGGCGGAACCGACGGACAGGTTGGCGGACTGAGGTGATGTAACAGGATCAGTGGCTGCAGGCAGAGCCAAGGGATCAACTTGCCTGGGCGATGCTGGAGAACTAAGGATTCGAGGCGAATCCACACAGTGCAGTGGTGTCAGAGAAGGAGCCGAGGGACTATTTTGAACCAGTGTGAACCCCGTCTCCGTCACACCAGGGACTGGTGTGAACCAGCAGAGGTGGGGCTGACAAACTGGCTGCTTTTGGAAAAGGAGTTGGGAGAGGGACGCTGACTGGGAACTCTGGTGACACGGGAGATTACAAGCAGGGCGAAACCAGCGGGACACAGGAGACTTCGTACTGGACGAGATCAGTGGGGATGGGAGAAACAGGAGGGAAACTCAAATTACTCTAAAAAACAGTAGGCAACGGTCAGCTGCAGCTCACCCTCAATAGCTGGAATATGGGCAGGGCCTTCCTCCATTCCTCATATTCAACTAGAATTCCCACGTCATCATACAATGTAGCCGGCTCACCCACCTTGTCAGACATTTCACGAAGCTCAGGCTCCGGGGCGATGTTTGGCTCAGTCTTTGATCCTTCTGGCTCTTTCATCGTTGCAGGCTCAGTCTCTTTGTCTGCGTTGGGCTCTAGTATGTCCTCCGTGCAGCGGGGCGATGGCTGGCTGTGAACTGGATCTGGAGTGGGGCTGGTGTCTTCCAGATGGTGAAGTCCGATCCACTGACTGCTCTTGTGCCGAATTTACTACCCTGACTGTTTGCTCTGCGTTTTTTACCTCACCCTATGAAAGTGGCAATATTTTGTCCGTGAGCTGGTTACTTTATTAACGAGACTGTCTATTTTTTAGCTAGTTGGCTAAAAATGAATCCCCAATTAATCACTGGTGGTCGCTGTTGGACGGTGCTACTTTACAAAATTGCTATTTGATTTTGTAATAATCATATTTTGTAGGATAATCTTGTTTTCTTTTGCTTTAAGGTACGAGAGGCTGTGCTGTATCGTGAATAAGTAACGGCTGAAGGGCGTTGTTAGACACGAAGCGGAGCGAAGGGGAGACGGAGGGGGTGCCGTCTCCCCTGCCTCAGTCACAAGATCTTTAACTATGTAGATAAACATGAGTGTGTTGAAATGCAGCCGTCCTCCTGCTGTACACTATGATTCATGGTTTGGTACTGTCCTTCTAGATAATGATAAAAACAACATCCTGTCACTTGTCTTGTTTTAGGACGAAAGTTTCTCTATGCATTTGCTGGGTTCGCTGGTGGATTGGGAGGTATGGTCTTCATTTTCATCATTGTGTTCATGTAAGTTCATTCTGTTTGAAAGCACATTAGTATATCAAGCTGACTTTTTTTATAAACAAAATAAACATTTTAGTTAATTCTTTATTACAGAATGAAAAAACACAAAGCTGAACACGTTAGTCAAGAGCAGGTAAATCAAATTATCAAATGAGCATTGAACAAATGCAAACACCAGCCTGTTATACTCAAAGCTTTTCTTTGATAAAAGTGTAACAAGTCATTTTCTCTCATTTTAGGATGATCTGTATGCCAACTTAACAGGCGGAGTATCAGCTCGTGATGGGGTTCAGTCTGAATCTGGTGCCACAAATCAAACCGATGCCCTGTATGCCTTAATTACCCTAAGCAATTTCAGTGGAGATCAGACTAAAGGAAAAGCTTCTGATTCTGAAGATCCAGATGAGGTCCAGTATGTAACTGTCTTGCATCCCATGAAGGAAGAGAGCGAAAGCTATTACGACAACATCAGAACATACCAGCCTGATGCTGCCATGAGGTGAGAAACAGAATCAGAAATAATCAGAGGCACTTTGAGCCTCACATTCAGTTTTAATTTAGCTCCTGTATTGGTTGAGATTGTATCTGTAAAGGTCATTGATGCCTTTATCTCTGAATATTTTGATTTCACAGATCTGATCAGATCGTGGAGGATCAATCGGTGATTTACAGCACAGTCAAATGACCAACAGATCAGTTTTGTGAATTTACAGTGCTGCCAGGATTACGTTTCCTGGGGAAGCCGATCTCCATGAGAACAACTCCCTCATGTGGTGGGACTGTGGCACTGATGCTGGGTTTTCATTTCTCCTGTTTAGCTTTAATTAAGAGCTGGATGTTTTGACTTAATGCTTTTTTCTCTCTCACGTATGCACTGGTTCTCTGATCGTGATTTTGTTAAGGCCTAAATTCTCAATCCAGTTTGTAAAAAATCTAGAAAAATGTTGTGTATAGAATTTTGATTCGTCAAATTTGTCTGTTCAAGATATTTTTTGTAACATAATTAATGAATGTATGTATTAAAATCTACATTCCTATTGTCTCAATCTGTCGGTCACATGGTTTCCATTTTTCACCAATTTTTCAGAAAATCCTTTAAAAATAATTAAATCTTCATCGGATTTGTTTGAAATTTGGCATGGTTCGTGCAGAGACCCTTCTGACAAAAATGTGCCAAGAGAAATTATTTGTCAAAACCTTTGGTGGAAATTAAATATTCTTTTTTTTTTAGCCAAAGCCCACCTCTATACTCTGTGAGCACATTTATCTTTAAAGGGTCATGAAACCCAATACTACATTTTCTGAGGTTTTAACAGAGTTATGTGTGTTGAACATCATAGAAGACAATGTTACCATCTGTTAGTTAGAGAGAAAAAATCCGACATCGAGGTAACTGTGCAGGTGATAACTTAGAGTTTTCTATTGTTACATGAAATTAATTATTTCAGACCTTTCAGGCCCATTTTTGTTATTCGAATCCATAAATAACTTCGTCTGCAGCGCGAGTCAGACTTAATTCTCGGTAACACTTTACAATAACATGAATAATCATGTACTAATACCTGAATTAATAATTACTTTACTATGAACTAATGATGAGTTAACTTAAGACATGTACTGATGAGGAACTAACCTTAACTACGACATGAGCCATAGGAATTCCTGCATGAATATACCATCTTAACTACACGTTACATGCTTGTTAATTAATGTATTAATTAACATTTCGGGGTTTTGTAAAGAAGTGGAAGAGCAGAGGTGCTGTGCCCGCATTTGGTTGAGAAGGAATGGTTGGAGGAAAATGGACATATTTTGTGGCCCAAAAGAAGAGCAAGAACACAAGACTAACATCCGACTGCATTATGATATAAAGACAGTAAACCAATCCATAAAATAAGCACATAAATAACCATCATCTGTGCTAACACTGATTTTAATTTTGAAAATCGCATCTGTTCATGAATATGTTAGTGTAGGTATTTCACTCTTGATGGCAGCAGTGGAATCACTTATAGTACTGATAAACATTGTTACTAATTGCAAATACATATTTTGCAGCTTTCGACTGGAATCATGTTTTTTGTACTGTCCCTATTCAAATAAATGTATAAATAAAAAATAAATAAAAATAATGAAATGAAAATGAATTTATTAAATAATCTTTTACATATGCAAGACTATAACAGCATGCCATGAATAGACACACATGTTTATAGTGACGCAAGCCTCGAAACTACCTGGAAATGAACAGTCACTGAAAAATGACTCATGTGTAGGCCTATGTGCAACAGGAAACAACCGTTACCATCAGTTTGCCTCTTATTGAGATTTCACCGCTTCTATTAATAATAGATCTGCGTAGGCCCTCGCATGTCAGCA